GCTGGATGTAATGGGTGGAGCTAGACACCCAACCACTCCCTAACCATACCCCTTACCCTATCGCTAAACATAACTCCACCCATTAGTTCACACAGAGGTGGAGCTGGACATCCAGAGAGGGGAAGCTGGAGGTCATTTGGCTCTGCAGTGAGCAGTACTTGTGTGAAAGACGCTCCGTAGGACGAGGCATCTACCACATATTCCACAGATCGATTCAAGTTACGTGCACAAATAAAAGCCAGTGTGTGTGTTTGTGCTTGTTGAATTCCTGTCTCTGATAAATTAATTTACCCATTAAACTGCAATTTAATACCAGTACGAATATCACATCGAATGTGAATATCGAATATCGAATCAGGCACGTGACTGGACAGAAAGTGAAGCTTCGTTTGTCATTGGTCACGTGATTTCTATGTTAACAACACAAGCTTCGAATCAAGGCTTCCTCTGACACGCCCCTTTATTTTCGACACAAGCTCCGATGCCTCGGTTCAAATGTCACATCACTAGACAGCCCGTCGGATCCTCCGCAGTGTTGCCAATTTGGGGATTTTGTCGCCAAATTTAGCTACTTTCTCATTGTAGCTGCGACCTTTTTTTTTGCGACAAGGAGCTATTTTAGCTATATTTAAATAAAACTAGCGATTTTTTTGGTTTTTTAAATTTTTTACTTGGCCACACCCTGCCGTAGGCTCGTGAGCTCTCACGTTTGCTCTCAATCATGCCAATAGGTGCGTTCGACTTGAAGCACCGCTACAGACGGCAGTCAACGAGAGTAGCCGCTTGCAGTCGGGGGCGGAGTTGAAAACGGAGCCGTCAAGCCGGACACTTTCTGCTCCCGTTAGTGACGCTCGCACGGTGTTTGCATACTCTATCACAGATGAAGTGAATTAAATGCAATATTTGTCAAATACACAGACGTTTCAGAAACGTTTTCATGAGCAACAGAAACACTTTTTATATACTGCTTAATACAGCGCCATCTGTTCAAGAATAAAGTTAAATGTAAATACTAATAAAGTGGGGGTATATATGCTTTCATGATAAACGTGACTCAATATAACATTGCGACTACAGTAAAAAAGCTTCTAATGTTCTAAAAATACAGATTTATGAGCAGTATTGGATTTGAAGATGTTAGAAACACACGTCATTGTTGTCATGTGGTGAATTTGGCCAATCGTGAAACAGCTGTGTGGTCATCAGCGCTCTTGCAGTCGCTCTGAAAAAGCTGCACCGGCTGAGTCAGCCGGCTGCTCTCGAAACGATATCGCGGTACTTTGATGCACACGTAACAGTGACGTAGCGTCGCGCCGGTTCAAGTCGGACAACATTTGTAACCGGCATGCACTGCTTCAAGTCACCCGCCGATCGGTTTGCGCGGCGCCGCATGAAGTCGAACGCACCTAGTGAGTCTGCGCAGTGAACACACCAGTACGCCACGCCTGCCATGACGCACAACACAATTTCATTATAAGCATCAATCAAGATCAACAATGAACATCTTGTTTTAACCACGGACACAAGTTATACCACAATTCATGCAGTCATGTCAACCAGATACTGAGAGAGAGACAGTGCATCATCGTGTCATGTATGCTGGCATGCAGTATTTTGCACTTACTTTGTAGTAATATTGACTGAAATAAGTTTGTATGAATAAATTTTTTGTTTTTGGAGAATCATAATATCTCTTATCTATCTGTTGTATTTGAGCAGGACAGGGATGCACTTTGGTGTCACATGAAACAAATTCCCAACATTGTGTCTTTCCATCATTTTCATCATGTTTGATGTGCTTGCAGATCACAAGCATTTCCTAATTTCACTTCAGAATTTTTAGTTCTACTTCATCTTTTGTTATATTTGTTATACTGCCATCATTTGTAAAGTATATATATATATATACTTTCCTTTACCAAATTTACCTGTATTTACTTTGTTTTTATATTTGGCGACTTTTTGTGAAAAATTGAGACTTTTGAGGGTGGTTCTAGATTTTCTGAGGGAGGGGTTTGGCAACACTGATCCTCCGGAGCAGTGTTGTTGGTGATTTTTTTTAGGTCTACCACTTGACTTTTTTGTCCCATAACTTAGGATATTTTAAGAAATTTAGAATGACTGTCTTAACTGCGTCCAACCTCGGCAGGGATGGCGCGTTGCCCGCGCCCTTGCTTGTGCGGCTGAACAATCCTGCCACGTTCAAAGACTGACAGAAAGCCCTTTTGCCTTTGCCATCAAGAGATCACGTGACTGCCTGAAGAACAATGACATGAAAGCCATATTTTTGCAGATTTTAACTTTTTAAGGCTTTTACTTTTGTTCAGCTGATGAACAGCCTGTTGGGAGTTTAAATGCCGTTTTCAATAAATTGCATATTCTCTATTTTTTGTCTCTTGCTCCGGTTTCTTCTTTTGGCATTTTGAAGCAGTACTTACAACCTGGTTACGATCCACCAGTGCAAAATGCAAATACTTGTAATGTTCCCCCCGGTCTTAAGATTTTGTTCAGGAGTGTATTATTCCCTTATCCCTTTAATCACTTAAATATGTTATTAACGTTAAAGCCTGTTGAAAACAGCATTAAATATACAATATGGAGTTAAAGAAGAGTGTCTCACCTTAGCAATTCGCGCCATTCCTCTCAGATTCCCAGTGCATGTGATGAAGTCAGGCGCGCGCGCAAACACTCAGACCAATTCAACGTTTTTCCTCCTTAAATGTTATAATTTAGGGGATTTTTCCAAAATATCACATTAAAATAATGGAAATAAATGAAATAAATCCCAAGTTGGTCAACTAGTTGAAACTGCATGAAGACTGCAGTTGACATAGGTTGCATAAAACTATAAAAACCGCAATTAGTTTTAATTATCACAGAAGAACAAAAACAGATTGTCCATGATGTAGGAAAGTTTAATACACATAGATCTACAAACATATGTACAGCACAATTAATCTGAACAATGGCCTTTCACAAATATAAATTACTTTAAATTGGCTTGTTTCAAAGCTCAACACAGGTCCGTGGAGTGTGAGCAGGAGCTTGGGTGGGAAAGAAGTAACACATCTTCAGTATTCCATTGCAGACATGTCCACATTTCACCAGCTCACTGCTCTCCTAGTCCTGCCACCATGATCTTTTGGAATTGAGCACACCACATTGTTCCCCACTCACCAGAGCTGGCTTTACACGCACCCAGTTAAAATTCCATCCTGGCAAATGTTTTGAAATTGTACACAACAGCATAATACTGCATCATTTCCGACCGCTTAACATCCTTATACCAATCCGGTGTTTGAATCTACACAAGAATAAGGCACAGATGGAAAAACACATCAAATAAACAATCAATCAATGAACAGTATCTACCAGCATGCCAGTCTGTCAACGTTTTGGCACAAAAGCTGGTTCACCAAAAATAGCTTGCGACACCCGCCCACTCCTGAAACAAGCATCTGTCCATTTATACAGTACTCACATTTCCACTTAAAGGTCAACGGTATCAGCGTTTCAGCACACTCATACTAAGAAAACAACTCAACGAAACATGAAAATCAGATTCAGATAAAGTCTACCATTACTACATACTCAAAATCGAGCAAGTACTGTCCTTTTAGTGCAATAAAAAGATGCAACAGTACAAGCACTGACCATAAAGTGGACTTAAGTGGTGCCAAGTGTTACAGATTTAAGAAAATAAAAACAAAGATAGCTTATGTGTTATGATTATTTAGTGTTCTGATAGGGTCTACATGGACCCTGAATACTGTTTAGCCTTTTTTTCCTTCTTTGTTTTTTAAACAAGGCTACTGTCCTCCACCAGGGCAATATTAACAAGTCTGCATTATAGCGAAGACGCAGATTCGATGATTCGAGAAAAAGAATTCCAGTAATTTTGCGGTTGTTGCTCATCACATAAGACAAAAGACAAAAATGTACATGTAATTACTTGATTTTCTTTCCTCAAAATGACGTACGATCACAGGGGTCTGGGCATTTCAGAAAGCAAAAGTGACAGTTTCGAATAGCTCAACAAAAATATGAATCAACATCTGAAGGTGCAATTAAAAGGATTCCTTTTTTCTCCTCCCACAAAGGCTACTTTCATGAAATAATCCTTTTTTGCACAAACCAAAATAACACGAAACAAAAATGCATGAATATCAAAGAAAAGTTTGCTTTGGGGACAGTCCCTTTCTGCTAATTACTCTCAACAAAAACTAAATACATGAGGCACTTTCTAACTTAAGCATACTTGAACACTTTATCAAGTTCAATCCTAGTCCATAGGACTAACCATGCTTTGTTCTGTCTCCTCAGTCCAAAATGGCAGACTTAACCTGGTTGTGAATCCTAGAAGAGAGCAGAGGACACAGTGGTGATAAAGAGGAGTTTGGTGGAGGCTCCATTTATTTAGACAGACCGTCTCTGCACTAACCAAGTGTTCACCTCACGTCTTCCTGTTGTTCCAATTAAAGTCTGTCACAGGTTTCTGCTCTGCAGTTCTTTCCATAGCAGGTGAGATGGGCTCAAGGGGGGATTTCTGAGACTGAGGGGAACGGGGGTCAATCAGGGGTGGGGGTTTGTCAGGGTGGAAGGGGCGGTAGTGATCGGGCCCCATGGGACCATGGTTTCCAGGGGGTCCCCTGTGGTCCGGCATCCTTCTGAAGTCCTGTGGATGCCCTCCTCCACCGGGGTGATAGTTCGGGGAGCGGTATTCATCGGAACGCCTTCTCTTAGGGTCTGGATGTCTGAAAACAAAAAGCAAAATTTTAGTCCTACAGCTCTACACAGTTTTGGGCATGAGGATGGGTTGTAAACATTAGCAGATTTATTAAAAACACACTCTTGCTCACCTGTCATAATAGTCTCGATGGCCACGATGATCTCTATCATTACCATAATCATAGGGTCGTTTGCGAGGGGAGCCGCTGTTACGGTAACCTCCTGAGCTGCGGTAGTCACCATGAGGACGGCGGTCTCCGTAATGATGGTCCTTGTATCTGTGAGAGTCATACGGGTGATACCGATCCTCTTGCCAGGGCTGATTGCTGTTACCTGGGTAGCTGTACTTACGGTCCCTTTGCCAGTCTCCCCTATCTAGTTAAAAGATGCACAAGGTACCAAATGAGCCAGTTGATCATTAAAAAGGGCAACTGAAATTGTAAATGACATCATTTATGGTTGTACAAAAAATATCTGACATCAAAACCAGAATTATAGTAGCTAATCAAACTGATATGATTGTGTGATGTAGCTATACGGTTTCTGGGTTCAACTCCATTTTAAGTGAGAATACTTTCTCAGAAGTCATTTATGAGCACTATTCGTTTAGTAGGGCCCTATGAAATCAGTTAAATTTTTTTTTAAATTCGTTTTATTTTTCTGTTTTAATTTTTCTAGACTTTTAATGGTTAAAGGCACAATATGTAAGATTGTTTTATTAAAATATCCAAAAACCACTAGAACAGTGTTATATATTTTGCTGACTTGTGTACTTACATTATCCCAAATGTTTCGAAGAATGTTTAAATCCAGAGAAATAAGCAATTTTAACTAGTGACACAGACCGTGTCCATAGTGTCATTGTGTCGCCTGCCAATGACGTCATAACCCCTCGATTTCCGGTTTTGTTTTGTAGAAAACATGGAAACACCAAAGACGCTTGAATATGTTGTGCATTTTAATAGACCGGTGACGACCGCACAGAGTAGCATTATAACAGAACTTTCAAATGTATCTAGTATGATAAAACAGCGCTGCCTTTTTTTCCCACACATACGCACGACCAGAAGGAGCGGAAGCGGTCGACTGTGGCATAATAAAAGCTCCATTGCTTTCGAGCCGTGTCGCACTTGTTCAGCGGCCTCGTTTCGCTTCGATGGCTTTCAGCCTCACCCTGCTTCATTCTACTACGTTAATAAATCATTAGCTCATCCATGAACATAATTTCTGCCTGAGTCCCGTCGGATTGCATCGGCTGTGGGAATGAAGACGACAACTCCCATGATTCCACACTTAGTCACGGCACCATCAAACTACGCCTTTGATTCTTTGTTTGTTTTGAATATGCGCCCTCTAGCGGCGACAAATTACATATTGTGCCTTTAAATTAAAATGTTATTATTCAAAAAGCATGTCTAATTAATTGAATTCATGAAACCTACACAATTTATTATTTGTTTAACAAAAATTACATATTTAAGGCCCTATGAAATGTTTTATTTTTTTCTCAAATTCAGTTCTATTTCTTTCTTTCTTTTACCAAATACTGCTTTATACCATTATTTTTCTGGATTCTATTTTGTTTTGATTAAATTGTAATAATCAAAAGCATCTCTAATTAATTGATTTTATATATTTAAAAAAATTATATATAAAAATTATTAGTTATTTTTATTTTTTTCAGAAATACTGTGTTATTTACATTTTTCTGCTAAATAAATTCTGGTGAATATTACATTAAGTAATATATTTGTCAGCTTCTTCAAGTTAATAAAACTTTTATTTTGACGGGTTGCTATGAAGACCTTCAAGTTTCTGATTGTATGTGATATGACTATAGCTTTTCCTCAAAAGAAATGGTAAAATCCTCATGAAGTGGCTCTCAGAGCATGTGTTCATGTACTCATATATTGAGGCAGCAGAGGCTGAAAACACTGAGCGTCACGCACTTTAGTATGTGTAGTAAACGAAACCACGCGTCTGCGTTGTTCATTCACAGAGACACGCAGAACATGCAGGATTCACATTTAAATAGTTTTTTTGTGGCTTAATATTCACAGACACTAGTCCATATCGTGTTTTGATTTAACTGTACTGACCTACTTTTGATTTATCCATCCAAAATTTGGCAAATTCTGAGACATTTCGTGTTATACAGTAAATTCCATTTTTATGACTTGATTCCACAATTCCGTCCATATTTTCCACATCACGGAAATCATAGGGTCCTAGTTAAATAGTACTACAGCACAATGTGAGTGCAATAAGCTGTGAACCCCAAAACGGTGACACTTGATGGATTGTTTCAGCTCTCACCGTCATTAGGAAAGTGCCTTTTATTGGGGTGGTTGTACTCTCTGTGGTGGGCGTGAGTGGGAGGTCCAGGCAGATGGTTGACTGCAGGATGGGTACCTGTAGAGTCCCGACTAGATCCAGACGGTTCTGGTCTGAAGGGTTTTTTCTTGGCATGATCATCTTTCTTCTTTTGCTCTTTCTGTAAGAGGAGCAAGTGAGTAAGTGGTACATGAGGAGAACAATGTCATTGAGAACTGTGAATTTAAGATATGCTTACCTCTTCTTCCTGGGAGCGCTTCTTTTGAGCCATCTTATACAGCTTGTGCAGTTTCCGGGCACCAAACTCAGTAAATTTAGAAACAAAAATCCAGAGGTTTCTGACAAATGAAAAAAGCGGGGTTGAATATACTGTCCAAATATAATGGGAACTCTTGAAATCGGATGTGTAATGTGTAGTTGAGATACCTGCGCCAGGTCTTGACATGCTCTGGGTCACTGTACGATTTAAGGCACTCTGTGATGCGGTCTCCAATCTTTAGCAGGCAGGTACGAGTGTGCTGCAGCTGCTCCTGCACTGACAGCCCCTCATCTGGCTTATCCAACTGCTTCAGAGCCTTCTTCACTGGCCTCATCCGCTCCTTACACTGCATACACATTACACATTATCAACATACTTCTGTGTACATTACAATTATACGTCACGCCTAGAAAGGGAAGATTGAAATGAAGAAATTAGAATTTTAACACTCACGATGCTGAATGTTTCCTGGTCCAGCTCATCATCTTCCTCTCCAATTGGTACAGGCTCACTTCCTGCAGTGATGTGCACAGGGCCTTGAGCTTTCTTCCCTTTTCCTCCTGGTTTGGCCTGTAAATGTGAGAAGTTGAGAAGCACACTGACACATGATATAACTTTATTATGTAAAGATTTAGTCTAATCCAGCTTGGATTTAAAAAAGTAATCTAATTCTCAAAAACAGACAAACTAATACTTTTAATATTTATAAATATACAGAGAATTTAATTATAACAGCAATATAATTTAGGTCTAAATCATGAGTTTGAGTCAACCCGTTGATCTAAGAAACTAACAACCATATTGTGCACAGGATGACAGTGAAACATAATACTTAAGTCCAAGTTTCTAAAGGAAATGTTCTCATGCTGAAACATAATACTGCAGACTCTGATGCCATATAAAATACCTTCTCTTTTTTGGACTTGGAACGCTTTTTGTCTTTGTCCCCCTCCTTCTCTTTTTTAGGAGTTCCTGTTTTTTCTTTGTTCTCTTTGTTATCCTTTTTCTGTTTCTTCTTTGTGGGTGATTTTTCAGCTCCATCGTCCTGGAAAACGAGAGAATTGTAAATATGCAGCCTAACTGGTTAGTGCTGTGGATTCTATGTCTTTATTTCGCTACTTTAACAAATCTGTTTCTTTATATAGGTGATAGGATGCAATAAAACTAACATACCTTCACCTCTCCCTCTTCTGACAGGTTGTCGGAGAGACGAGGAGAGGTGATTTCATTGACCAGATCATTGTTAGGGGTCTTGTTCTTCATTCGAGGTTTCCTCTTTCTGGGTTTGGTCTGGGAGGTGGGAAGATACAAAGAATGAAAATGTCATTAAATATATTGTCTGAAACTGATCTTTAGTACATGATAAGACCACCTATTTTTCAAAATGCCTTTGCTAACGCATTTTTGCTTAAAGCTGCTGGCCCAAAACTGTGTATGGCCACCAAAAAGTTATCTAATCCTTACCACCACTTTACAATATCATATTGTCCTCCAAACCAATAGGTGTCGCAAGTCTAAAAACCTGAAAAACCCACAATCCTTACCTCATCTCCCGTTTTAGCAGAATCTTGGCTTTCTTGCTCCTTCTTCAGCATCTTAAGCAAGTAGTCTGCTCGCATCTGTAACTGCTTTGCCTGAGGTTTCTTTTCAGGGTCATCTAGGAGAATCTACAAATAAAGACAACAGGATATTTGAGGTCAAGTAAGGCAAACTTACACATTGTTGATGCTGCTTATTTAACTGTGAGCAAGCAGTAATTTGACAATGTACCTTCTCAGAAAGTTTGAGATCAGGATCGGTCTTGATCAGGTCCCAGTTGCCGTAGCCATGTTCATAGATACCCAGTAACAGCTGTGTGTCATCATGAATATCCCAGTCTACGTCAAAGTGTGGAGTCTTCACCCGACAGGTCAGCTGAAATCTAGCCAAATGGAAAACTTCACTGACTCTTTTCGGTCTCATTTTATTCCTTATTTAGAAATGGATCAGGGTTGGGAAAACGTCATAATCAAATGCTTTAAAAAATACATTAGATGCAATTAGAATTGAAATTGGTTGTGTATCATAAAAAGAGGAATTTGACAGAAAATTTAAAGTGACAGTAGAGAAAATCCATTAGTCCATTAGATAGTGATTTTATTTTGATTATGCCCATTTTTTTCAACTGTTTATATATTTTCAATACAGTCAAAATTTACCACATTATGTTCAGACAACTTTATACATTTTGGCAGACAAATTTAAGTCTATAAACACTGGCAACAAAATCTATTGATTACATAAAATTGAGTAAACTGGATAATTCTTTGATAGCTGATTTTATATATATATATATATATATATATATACATACAGTATCTCACAGAAGTGAGTACACCCCTCACATTTTTGTAAATATTTTATTATATCTTTTCATCTTTTCACAATATGCTCATGCTGTAATACGTTTTTGGATTTAGTATAGTGATAAATATTTACTTTTTAAAATAACATATTTATGATAGCGAACTTTGTTGTGATCAATGCTCCCTCTTAAGGCGGGCGTACGCGGTGCGATTTTTGCTGTCGTATGAGCTCGCAGGCGATTTTTTTCTCTCGGGAGAAAATCGCAGATGCTCGCATAGTCGCGGCTCGTACCGTGTGAGAAGAATAACGGGCCGATCCGAGACGTTACGAGCACCTCCTGTCCTCTCGATAATTTTCAAACATGTCAAAAAAAATCGGATGCTGTCAGTTTAAATTCATGGCATATGTGCGGATGAACGAGACGATTTCGCGATCCATCTGAAGTTGGCCAATCAGAAGATGACAAAACCATATAGTCTATAATAATTTGTTTAATTATACTGTTCTATTTTTTTATTCCGAATGTGCCAAATTTGCCGTTCAGCTTTATGAATGAATATGCCTGTTGTATTTCTGGCAAAACGAGCAGAAATTCAGAAATGGCCTACTCCCTCGAGTTCTTTATGAAGAACAGAAAGTCCATGCTTTTCAGACATTCTCTTTGCCATGCCCTTTGTTTTTTTTGGACATCACAAGCCGCCTGCCACAAAGAAAACTATTTCGTCCTTAGAATCCATATTTTTATGAATGGCGCGAAACGTAATGCTTACGTCAGAGTTTGTAAAATCATAGTAAATTTGTGTCGTGTGTGTGACTGCCTCCGTACGATTTTCGGATAAACTCATTCGTGACATCTGCCAGAGCTCACGACATTCCGACCTTCAGAATCGCACCGTGTACGCCCGCCTTTAGTCTTACTCAAATTGTACATTTTAGTTATCATATTAAGACAAACTTGTCCTGTTTTTGTTTATTCATTGAAATGTATGAGCATTTTAGTCAGGTTTTTTTAGTCAATGAAATATTAGTCACATTTTCGTCATTCTGTATAATGGTTAAACTTGATAAAAATAATTTTTTTCTCAAAATTATAATCGTAACGATTGTTGTCATTTGATAAATTTACTTTCGCATTTCAGGTATTGCACTTTCTCCAGTAAGCACAAATCAATAGAATGTGAACACATACATGGTGTATTTTATCTCATCTAGTGTACTGATTTATTATAGGCTTTTTATTATATAAATCAACACCAAAGACTTATGCAATCTCTCTGTCTACATTATGAAAACAGCTAAAACAAACAAAAAATATGTGAAACAGTGAAATTCCTAGTAATTCCATTAATTCCATAATTGCAATAGTCTATTTCTCTATTAAAACAACAGCGATTGAGTAAGTATTTATTCAGCGATCACAATCGCAAACAATATAGTGAGATCCAGGGGCCACGCTAAGGGGGGGAAGATAGGATGATTCTAAGGGCCCACGCACTTTTGGGGCCCCCAGAGATCGGTTTTATTAGTAGTAACAGTAGTAGTAGTAATGTAATAGAAATTATAAATGTATCTACCAAAGAGTTACAAATAAAACTAAATTACGGCTTATTTCTGCATTTCCAGCAAAATTATCTCCCCCCATTCACCGCATGGTTTCGTCCCGTCCTAAGTAGTCACTGAGTGAGATCAGATGGTAAAATGTCAAATTAGAGCTGTCTTTGAATCGCCGGGCAATTTGGTCAGTCGCACTTTTAAACACATTTTAGTTTTGCTATAGAAAATCTACAAATTCACACTCTGATTACATAGAGCAGGAGCAGGACGCCGTGAGAGTGTCATGGCAACCAGATACACTGCACGCAAATTATTATTTAATTATTTTGCCACCGTTTGCCACACTAAACTTAGCAATAAACACGTTGAAAATAATACACAATAAACATGTCTGTCAAAACAATCTCAAAGGAGGCTTTTATTAAGCAAATCATGGAATGAATTACTCATCCACTGTTTAAAAAAAAAAAACTTTAGCTGGGTTTCCACAGGCAGGGTCACAATTATCTAGTGTATGAAGCTAAAGGTTTTTGGGTTAAGGTTCATAATGTAGAACATTTTTAACATTGTATGCTGTATGTGCATAGGTAGCTAGCAAACAAGGAATACAGCTGTTAAGCTAATAGTCACATTATTGTGGCCAGCCTAAGGCACACCTGTGCAATAATTATGCTGTCTAATCAGCATCTTGATATGCCACACCTGTGAGGTGGATGGATTATCTCGGCAAAGGAGAAGTGCTCACTAACACAGATTCAGACAGATTTGTGAGCAATATTTGAGAGATATAGGCCTTTTGTGAACATAGAAAAAGTCTTAGATCTTTGAGTTAAACTCATAAAAATGGGGGCAAAAACAAAAGTGTTGCATTTATAATTTTGTTCAGTGTATGCATGTATGTATAAATTTGCAAGTGTGCGAACCTGCAACCTCACGGTCAAAAGTATTCTGCCTTAACCAGCTACATTAACTGGCTGTTTGGCTTCGCTTGCATTTGAAAGGGTCATTTATATTATCATGTTCATATATACTATGAAGGCCTGGTCAAGCACTGATGGGTTGGCGATGGGGATAAGTGTCCCGTCCACAAGGCCAATTAATCACAGGACATCCGCAATGGCATGGAAGCCTTGATGTGCCTCCATCACTTCGTGCCTGGCAAATATAATATAATATAATAATCGGTGGCATGACGGAGCAGGATGTTTGTGATTGAGTGAACGCACTGCCACACCGATGTCTTACTCAGCCCATATCCATCCCCAAACACCTCCAGAAAACTCCCCACAGCATAAAAACGGAGAGCCGCCAGCAGTTGAATTTCGGGGCTTAGGGGGTAGCTCCATAGAGTTTGTCTCGACAAAGTTGGACCCACAAGATGTAAAAGCTGCTGAATTTGCTCCCGTGGCAGGCAAGTTTTTTGTAGAATTGTATCTTTTGACATGGTAGCTATTCTGACACTATTATGAAATAGTACACAAACTGGCTCTGCGAACGCAGCCATCTTTGATTTAGGACAACTATTCGCTGTCTCACTGCCATAGTTTGACCAAACTCCCCATCACATTGCATACTTCAACATGTGCTGCCATCACATGGGAATGCAGTGTGTGGCTATAAAATCTAATGAGTCATTACAGCCTGTGCAAGATATTATGGATCCAGCTCAAGGTGAGGATAAAAGTGCTGAAAAGCCAGCCACAAGGAGCACTTCACAGTATGCTATGTACATTTATATTCCTGATACACACGTGTGGTATAAATGCATGCTGATAAGTCAATCATATCTGTTTACAGAGCAGAAAATCATTTTAAGCCTTTCTGCAAAAAAATGTCTCATGTACATAGGGTTGTATACAGATAATGTAGCCTTTATTTTTCCTTTTTTAAATTAAGTCTCTTAAGCTCAACAAGACTGCATTTATTAGATCCAAAATATAGTAAAGCTAAAATATTATGAAATAGCATTCAAATTTAAAATAAGTGTTTTCCATTTCAATATTTTTTAAACAGCTGAGCTGCTTAATATTTTCCTGTAAACAGTGATTTTTAGACTTTTTCTGCAGGACACTGTTATAATCAGAAAATTCAAAAGAACAACATTTATTTGAAATATAAATATTTTGTAAAATTACTTTTGAAAGGCAGTGTATATTTGAATTAGAAGTATTGAGAATAATTCTTTTTGCACATTACAGTAAGATACTGGGAATTAATAGACAATTAGAGTGTTTGTATGTGCTGAATTGTCATGAAAAGTATGTCAGGCCAAAGATTTCAGTAATATTTTAGATTTTTATTTTTGGTAAAATATTGCCCATTTTTTATCTACCTAGATAACACCATATATTCCACTACTGTGAATTCTGTAAAAGCATACACAATTTACTCAATTTGAGCTGGCACAAGTCTTGACAGTACATGAAAATTAGTGGTCGACCGATATATCGCCAAGGCCGATATTTGGCATTTTTCAAGTATCGGCATTGGCCGACAAGTTTTTCTGTTTGGCTGATGTGTTTGAGGCGGGACTTTTATTTTGACGGCGCTGAGAACGGCAGGGCCTGCGCACACAGTGCTCACATTCTCCCTCTTGATCTCTGTCGTCGTTTAACAGTTCGGTCTAATACAGATAGAAGTTTGTCTAAAAATCAGATAGAACTGTTAAACAAAGAAATTAAAATGTATACAAAAAGTATTATAACGATTGCCTTTATATCAATAGTAATAGAAAGGCAAACGTTATAATACTATGCTGCACTTTATCCGTTTGCCCACTGCCATATTCATGTCATTTTTACTGTGTGCTGTATGTAAAATGAGTGTTACCTTGGCTTTATTTGAAAAAATATGGTTAATAATGCATACAAACGTCCCAGAATACGGAGTGCCCTTTTGGTTACAGTGTTTACTTCCTTTTTAATTCTATTTTTATTAAATATCTATTTATTTGTGAAAAATACTTTGTCATCTAAACAATAATTTGTTTAAGTTTATTTTACACATTTATTTTTTAAAGGGGTGGTTCATTGCGATTTCACTTTTTTAACGTTAGTTAGTGTGTAATGTTGCTGTTTGAGCATAAACAATATATGCAAAGTTACGAAGCTGAAAGATCAATGCAAACGGAGATATTGTCTTTTAAAATTCTGGCAGGTTAATGCCTACAAAAACGACTGGTAGGGACTACAAGTTACTTCCCGGGTTCGTGACATCACAAACCCAGATAAACCCCGCCCTCGGGAAAAGGCAGCAAAGGGGGTGAGGCCTGCGCTGCTTTAGAGAAGAGGAAGAGAAAACTAGAGGTGCACGTAAAAATCTATTCATATATGAATCGCGATTCTGTCTTCTAACGATTCTAATGGATTCACAAG